AAGAGCAGTGCACTGATGCACTGCCTGGAGGCTTTCCCCGCTGCTCTCATGGGCCAGTCTCTGCTCAGGGACATGATGCCTGTGAGCAGCATGGAGCATAAAAGCAAGTAAGTGCCCCCCAACTTTCTCTTGCCCTACCCTGCTCCTGCTTCTGCATTGCCCCGTCGAGAGCCCTCTTCTGCATCCTCCCCACAGTCCAGACACTCTACCTCCCCCCTGGCCAGAATCCCCAAGCTACACCCTGTTCCTTCATCATCCCCTGTCAAGACCCGGCACCTCCAGCCTGCTCTTGCTGCCTTCTCCCCCCAGCCAGACCATGGACTTCCTGCCTGCTCATTCACCCCCCATCCATATCCCATTCACTGGCAGCCCTGTCCCACACACTGAACCCTTCATTTTTGTCCCCACCCCAGAGCCTAAAGGGGGTCCACAAAATCCACTAACCCAAAACCCCAGAAGAGTAAATCCGGCCCAGGCGAAGCCCTGAACCTTAGTTCTCCCTGCCCCCCACCATGCAGCTGGCAAGCCAGAGGAATGAGGTATCAATTAGGGAGTTTTTGGATGGTGGGGGTTTTTTGTGCTGCTTGCTTGCTTTTCTATGGGTCAGTGGCTCCCCCATCCAAAAAAGTTCCCCACCCCTGCCGTAAACAAAGAAAACATTGAAACCTTTTGTGTTGGACATAAAATATTAAATTATTTTAAAAGAAGTTTGATAAACTAACATGAGACAGTTAAAGTGCTTAATCTGTCTAATAATTTAATTTTCTTACTGGTTAAATTGCAGCATTAGCAAAATGGCTCAAGCCTAATTATGTAATTAACGGCAAGTTTCCATTAGCAACTGGTGGTCCACCGAAAAATATGCATTGAGCCAAGTGGGCCACGGGCCAAAAAGTTTGAGAACCACTTCTCCTGTAACAATGTGATAACTTTAGAAGACAATAGAAGCACTTTAACTCTTGATAGCTAATGGAATAGAATAGTTCCCTCACTCAGAAAAAAGAACAGGTATTTCAGAGAAAATCAGTGTCCCTTGCATTTTAGAATTGCCCGTTAGGGTGGTCCTTAGTTACGTTTTCCAAAAGACTCAGACCTGGTTTCTATAATCTCTTGAAATTTTAGACCATCCACTCATTGCCTTCTGAATTTTATAAATGGACCAATCCTGTATCCCTTCACTTTTGAGACCATTTTAAAGTTCTTTCCTGCATCCACTTACCTGTGGAAGTCAATGGGAATTGCATGTGTGTATCACTTCATGGGATTGGGCCCTGAAACTCAAACTTGGCTTTTTAAAGTTGAAAATAAATGGATGGGCTGAAAATATTTCTGGATGTTTTCTGATCTGAAATACTGTGTAAGGATGATTAAGGCACTGGATTAGGAACTGAGCCACATGTATATTTACCCGGAAGTTCTAATCAAGGTATGCAACTCGAGCTACTTTAATTGTGTAGCTGGAGTTGATATACCTTGATTCAAATTTTGGTGCTGTCCCCACAGCGGGAGGTCAACAGAAGAAATGCTCCCATTGACTTCTACTCCTCACAAGGAGGAAGGGGCATACTGGTGCTGAGAAGGTGGCCCTCAGTGTTTAAATTAGCAGGTCCTTACTAGGGATGTTAAATGGTGTTTAATCAGCTAATCGACCAGTATATGGAATTTTCATTGACTAGTTGATGGGGGAGGAGGGGAGAAATTGCAGAACCACAGCGAGGTTAACGCTTGGCCTGGGAGCTAATCCTGGTGCGGCTCTGCCTTTTAAATGTATTTAAATACATTTAAAAGGATGAAGTGCTGTGAGGGGGACCAGGTGCAAGCTGGGAATCCACTGATTACCAGCTTGTGCCTGGTCCCCTGCTATGCCTCTGCCTCCCCTGCTGCCTCAGAGGTTCCTCCCCGGCACCATCTCTGCAGAGTGGGAAAGAAGCAACTAGTCGAGTCAGTAGTTGTCAACTAGTCACTTACATCCCTAGTCCTTACGAGACCCACTAAACTGAATGCAAGAAGATTGATTTCCAGAGCATCAATCCACATGTAAGTATAGATGTGGCCTGAGAACCAGCTTCTGTTGCCACCTCTGCAAGGGACAATTTGTGTGACCTTAGCTGAGTCAATTTCTATGTATCCATCTCCTCTCCTCTAAAATGGATAGAAAGCTAAGGAGCACTGAGAATCTTGGATGGAAGTCACTGTAAGTGCAAAACATTCTCAATAAAAATTCCCCACCCGTTTGGAACATACTTACCTTGTTTGCTGGAATTTGAACACTTGAGCATCCAAGATCAGGCACTCGCAATGTATGCTTCCATAAAGGAAGAGACTCCCCACTGTAGGCACTGGCATTTGTTAGAAAGGAGACTACCTGTTTTTATAATGTATGCTGTTGAATTGTATGATCCCTTCCTCTTGATAGTCACACAATTAATTGTGGGTCTTGGGAGGCTTTCCCAAGTAGCAAAATTGGGTGTTCATTTGCCTAAAACATAGATTAAATATTAGTGTTTTAATGAAACGTGTATAATTTAAAAACTTAATGAACATTTAGTAAAAATATAATTACTATGTTTTTCATTTACCATTCTTGCATTTAGTGCCAGGTGGATCTGAATAGGAAAATGCTTGCTGATCTGGCTATTTATGAGCCAAAGACATTCAAGTCCCTAGCTGCCTTAGCTCAGAGGAGACGACAAGAAGGCTTCCTTGCTGCCCTTGGAGATGGAAAAGAACCAGAGGGAATATTTTCACGTACTGTACACCATTATTGAAGTGACAGGCATAACCTACAATTGTAGCTGCCTATTCTAAGTAGGGACTTGTATTGCAAAGTTAAGTGTATATCCCAATATACAATAAAGATCATGTAAGTGAAACAAGATCTTTTCCTACTTGACTGGTTTTAGAGGAGGACTTAGAGAACCAGCTTGTAAACTCATAAGGATGGCTGGCTTGTATTGGCCTGCCATATTGCTCCTTAAGCGTAGATTGCAATTTAAACTAAAACCATTAACAGGGATAAACCCTACTCTCCAGAAGTCATGCTATGTAAAAATGTTGTGTAAACACTCTTGTTCTGTAACAATCCAATAAAGGGTTTTATGTCTTATGAAAATATCTGCATATAGTCACTTTGGGTGTCACAGTACAATAATTCACACTTTAAATTCTTTCTGAAATGTTGACCACTACCTCACATAGACGCAAGTAGAAAAACATCAGTGTGGCAGACCTCATATTAATGAGATTATATTGCAAAGCTGTGACTTAAATGTGAGACACATCAGATAACCGGAAGTACTTGCCAAAAAGGAAAATCTTAAAGGCTTGTGCTGCAGCTACTGGAGTCCATGAGAATAAGCATGTGAAGGAATAATTAAAAAAAAACAACAGGGAGGCTAGTGAAATCACCAGAAATTCAGATTTAGTATAAACCATGTCATCTTAAGTATTGCCATTTAACGTCATGCTAGAAAATGTGGCATTTCTAGCTCTTCTTTGAACTAGAGTATTTAAAAGAGTACAGCACTGACACTATATATTTAAGTGTCGTCAGTCAAATAAGTTTTTAACTTTTAAACTGAACAGTCATAGTAAGGAAAGCTTACGTGTGATGTGTTGCCTAAAGTATCCACAGAATTGCTAACCCGTGTATATGACAGGTTCTCCTGACTCCAGTACAAGAGACTAAGCCTATATCAACCTTAAAGCTGTGCCAGGGTAGCATGGACCCTGTATACATTGTTTGGGGTGGGGGAGACCCTTCCATCAGTGTGGTTAGTTACTACTCTTGGGCTATGTCTACACTGGCAAGATTTTGCACAAATACTTTTAACGCAAGACTTTTTTGCATTAAAGTATTTGCGCAAGAGTGTCTATGCTGGCATATGCTTTTGCGCAAGAGATTTGCTTTTGCACAAAAGCATCCGTGCCAGTGTAGACACTCTTGCGCAAGAAAGCTCCGAGGGCCATTTTAGCCATCAAGCTTTCTTGCACAAGATATTCATGTTCCCTGTCTACACTGGCCTCTTGCGCAAGAAGGCTTATTCCTGAGTGGGAGCGTCATAGTTCTTGTGCAAGAAGCACTGATTTCTTACATTAGAACATCAGTGTTCTTGCGCAAGAACTCATGGCCAGTGTAGACAGGTGGCAAGTTTTTGCGCAAAAGCAGTCGTTTTTGCGCAAAACCTTGCCAATGTAGACATAGCCTCTATGAAGGGATTAAGTGGATGGAGGAAGTCTTATTGACCCTGCATTTACACTTGAGATTAGGTGGTTCTAAGTAAATTACTCGAAGGGTGAATTTTTCCCAGTCCTGAGTGATGTACCTAGGTGTGTGTAACATTGTTTCGATAAAAGTCCTTGCAGTTAAAAGCTATACCCCAATACATGTAAAGGCTTTAAATTCTGGCATCCTCCGAGATCTTAGTCTTCAGTGGAGCACAACCATATTATAAATATTCTAGCTAAAGTTGAGGGCACATGGATGCTTACATATCTTCCAGTGAAATTTGTGTGCTGGAGTGTTCTCAAAGCTGCTGCTGCTGCTTTAGAAGGTTTCAGGGAGGTAGCCATGTCAACCTGTTCAGCAAAAAAGTCATCCAGTGGCTACTTAAAACTAAAATGCATTGGGGCATAAGCTTTGAGATACAACTTGCTTCCTCCCACTCAGGTACCCTCACCTCATCACTGGTGGAGGTGAGCCACATTCACCCTGATTTAATCAGCACTGGTGTTACACTTCCATTGCTGTTTCTCAGCCTTTTGCTTCTAGCATCTAAGGAAGTGAGTTGTATTTAGGTTAACCAGTAAGCATCACCCTACACCTGCATGGACTGGGAGCCAGCAGCCCAGTGCAGGCCTGGAAGCAACTAGGCAGGAGCAGCCTCTGTTCAGTTAACTGGTTAACCTTCCCATTTAATTAACCAGTTACAACTAGGGATTTAAGATAAGTGTTCTCACTAAAACTTATGCCCTAATAAATTAGTCTTTGACATGCCAGCAGACTTCTTGTCCTTTTGCTGTGGAAGAGAGTTTCTATGCGAGCTCCTATGAGTAATACAAGTTTCAGGTAGCAGTGCTAGCCTAACTTAAAACTAAGAGTGGTCCTGTAACACCTTAGAAACTAACAAATATATACATGAGCTTTTGGCATAGCCCACCTGAAGAAGTGGGTTGTGCCCACGAAAGCGTGCGCGTGTGTGTTGGTCTCTTTTGAGGAAGTGGGTCTGGCCCACGAAAGCTCATCACCTATTAAACCATCTTGTTAGTCTTTAAAGTGCTACAGAGTTTTTCCTTCTCTCTTTTGAGTAATAGTGTAAGCTAAAACTAAAGTGGGGAGGCTTGGTTAGTGTTGCAGACAGAGGATTTTGGAGGATAGGCTTGTCCCTTAAAACCCCCAGCTGCTGCTGGTCAGGGATCATTCACTAAAACTTTAAAAGCTGCTTTCCCCTCTTGCCTAGCAGAGAAAAGCTTGAGGAGGTGACTGGAGCGCACCTATTGAAAAGTAACAGGGTTGGGGGATTGTAGTAGCCCCCACCCCTCCTGTAAGAGGGAGGGAGCAGGGCTCCAGCTTTGTTCCACAGGCCTGGCCATGCTACCCCCCGTTCCAAGGAGTCTTTCTAGGTCCCCCCTTGCAGGGGCTGGCGCGGGCCTGCAGCTGGGGAGGAAGCCAGCCTTTGTCTGGCTGGGGCGGGCGGCGCGCGCCGGAAGTTCCTCCTGCTCCACCCTGTTTCGAATTCCCAACCGCTGCGTCACGCCGCTTGCATTAGCCCGCAGAGCCTGAGTCACGCCAG